GCTGGTATCTGCCGCTCTAGTCCTGAGTTGCCACAGCATTGATTTGGCATCTCATTCTCAGCCTCATTATCTTTATTTAATTAGCACACGGCCCTTCTGGGGGTTGCGCCGCTTCCCACACGCTCCCCGCCATGCAGAGCTGCGGAGGCAGCTCTCCCCGGAGGAAGAGATGCTGCTGGCCAGGGGAAGAGGACGAAGGCTCCCGTGTGCCTCTGCAGGGAGGGTTACGCTGCCTTTGCCCCCTCAGACCCCCAACCCTGCGCCCCCCATCCCTGCTCCCGTCAGTTGGCAAGCACCCAAACCGTCTGGGGTGTCGAAGCGCTCCCTGCCTCGCGCAGGCAGGCGGTGGGGGTTACCTTCCAGGGGCGCAGGGCTTCCGGCGCAGAGCATCTTCCCAAAAACACTCCTGGGTGCATGCTCCCCGCGCTGGCTTCCCCAGGGTTTGCACCTCGTGTTGCTGGCTTCACCCGAAGACAAAAAGACTGGGGGTCTGGCTGGCCTCCGTGCCAGGGCTAGCAGTGAGCCCCCTCCTCACGAAGCCCTCACTGCCCATGGTCCTGGAGAGGGAGCGCAGTGCCCCCAGAGACTAGACCCTGCTCTGGGTGGGACTCAGGCTGTGCAGGGCATAAAAGCACCTGGGGAGACTGTGCAGCGTGGTGCCGTGCTCTCCTCAGAGCTATTTCTCAGCCTTTTCACTATCCCTTTGCTGCTGGCACTCGGCGCTGTACATTTGGGAACAGTCCGGAGGCGATAACAGGTCAGGCTGGGGGCAAAAATCCAGGGTTTTATAAAAATAAATTTTCCTTGCAATTGGTGACTAATGGAAACATCACCCCAAATTAAAAAAAAAAAATAAAAATATGCCAGGCAAGCATCGCACTTGCCAACCGTTTGCAGCTTTGCGTTGCAACACGGGCTTGCTGCATGAAACCCAGGAAGTGAAACTGCCTGCTATTAATTGCCCCGGCTCCCAGATCAAAGGCAGCGCAGGCAGGAGAGCTGCCGGTTTAGGGACAGGCAGCCCCACAATGGGTTACTTGTAACGCGGTCGAGGAAATGTGCCCCCCTGCCCGCTACCCGCCGGGCCTTGAGAGGCAGCTTTGCAAATCGAAAAAAATCTATTTTTCCTTTTTTTAAAAAAAAAAAATTGATTTCCCGCCTATTTTTTTTGGATGCCACTGTTCAACCCCCTGATGGCTCTTTTCCTTCTCTTCCCTTCAAATTTACACCATTCGCTTTTGGACTGCGCTAGCGTGAAATATTCCCACCCAAAGGGTGATTTAAAAAAATAAAATAAAATCAAGTCCCTTGCAAGAGAGACTTAAAAAGAGAGTTACCGCCTTGGCTGTAGCCAGGCTGTTGCTTCCACGGATCTAATCCATCTGCAGCCGCTTACGACAGCGGGAAGGGAGCGAGCCGTGCAGGTTCATAAAGCACGGATCGTCCCAGGCAAACTCGATGGCTGCCTTTAAAGAAATTACAGGGTGGCTGGACAAAGGGATGTGATCGGTTTAATTTATCTCGGCTCAAGTGCGGCTCGTTCTGCTTCAGTCCCACAAGGAGAAATAGTTGGAGGGATGCTGCCCGGGCTGGAATAGCGTCGCGTGGATGGGAGAGCAGTCGAGACCTGAAACAGGGCGGTTTGGGGCTGGTATTTTCCCATATGCCTTGGGTTTTCCCTTTCCCAAGGGAGAGGACCACAAGGTTTGGGGGATGCACGCGGGGTTCATTGCGGCTCGCCCGCATCCCATGCAGCAATGGAGGCTGCCTGCAGGTTGAGTCACCGCTCTCTGCTGCCAGGAGGGCTTTATTTCCGTGCTTTTTCGGCTCCCTCCCTTGGACTTTCGTCATTGGGGTGGGGATTGTATTTGGAAAGAGGGCCCTCCTCTTCCCCCAGCCCTGTGCTGCAGTTCTGTGAGGCAGGATCAGGCCCTGGCGATGGGCAACCGATGTAAATCCCAGACGGTCTGCGAGAAGCGGATGGGGATGGATGGCCAGCGGTGGGTGCTGTGCCATGGGGTGCCGTGCCAGGTGCGCGATGCCCCGTACGGGGTGCAGGGGCAGCTTTGCAGCGGCCCCAGGGCTGCGTTACTGCCCTCCTCCCTTCTGCACCCGACATAAATCCCCTCCGCAGCCGGTCCCCGCCGTCAGGCCAGGCTGCCTCTCCTTCCCGTCAAACCAGCAGCTCCTCTTCCGACCGGGGAGCTCCGCTTTGGTTCCCTGACCTGTTATCCTGTGGCTGTCAGCGACTGTCATGTCCTCCCCGGAGGAGACCGCAGCCCGGCACCAGGAGATGTGATCTGTGTGTAGAGGTTCAGGCTTGTTATTTTATTTGAGGACACTTTAGCAGGAAAAGTGCTTATGCAAACCTCTTAGTGGGGAGAGAGGAGCCTGGCTCCCCGGCTCCGGCTGGATGGAGTCACGTTCCCGCTCCGGAGCTCCCAGGCTCGTTCCCCGGCGTGCCGGCCAAGACAGTGGTTGTTGCACAGGCAGTTTCTTGCAGAGAAGAGATGACACAGCGGCTTATCCACCGGGGACCTGGGATCAGCTTTCAGCTCGGTTACAGCCTTCAAACGCAGTGGCTGAGAGCTGTCACGCTGCCACCGAGGTCTTTACGCTCTGATTTATTAAGCAGGGTTGGAAACTTGAACACTGGAGTGCATCTGGGCCTTGGTCCCTCTCCCTCTCATTTCTAGCTTAACGGGGATGGGATGTGGCTCATCCCCCTCCTGCCCGGGTGGCACGAGGGTGCGGAGAAATGACCTTCATCCCTTGTGCCTGCACTGGGCACTCCTGCGGGGTGGCAGGCAGCTGCCCAAGGGTGGCATTGCCTGTCCCTTCCTCCCATGTCCAGGAGCCAGGGAGACACTGTCCCCTCGGTGTCCGTAACCCACCATGCAGCCACTTAGGAAAGCGGGAAGGGACCGCTGATCTGATGGTACTGAGCGTGCAGGGAGGCCAGGCACCGTCGTCCCTCTGACATCCCGCGCAGAGCATCCCGCTGTCCCCGGCTGCCGTGCCGCCCTTGGGCTGCCGGCTTCGCACCAGCCCTGGTTGCTCCAGCTTCGCTCTCCCCCAACAAGCCTGTTATTTCGGGGGGGGTGGGGTTGGTTGTCCCCGATGGATCTGGGCTCCTGTCCATAACCGAAGCATGTTTGGCAGCTTTCTGAGCCCAGAGCGTTCCTGTCCAAGAGGTTTCAGTCATCTCATTCCTCAGCAATCTGGTTCCTTATGTGTGAATCTGCATCCACCCAGTTTGAACCGCCTGGGACTCCGGCTTGGGTGGCTCTGCCTGTGCTGGGGCTGCTCCGCTACCTCTGGGCATCTGCTGGCCACGTCTGCATTTTGTGGTGGCCAGGGTGGCCTGGGATGTGGGAATGGGAGCCCTGGACCTGCTTGCCAGGGGCTTCCATCGCTCGCAGAGGAGCGAGGCGGCGCGTCCCATTGCCTCCCCCAGCCTGCGCAGTCGGGATGGGCTAAGCTTCCATTTCCAAAGGGAAGGCCCAGAGGCTGGGTGAACTCAGGTCAAGGAGCTGGAGCGAGTCGAGCCATGTGGCTGGTCCTGTTCTGACCGAAGAGGAGTCTCCTTGCCAGAAGGCTCATGCCCTGGGAGCGGGAAGCAGCTCCTGCCAGTGATTAGGGCAGGTCCTCTCCTCGCAGTGGGGTGGCTCCCTCGGTGATGGGGCTTCTCACGCGTCCCCCTGCCCCTCAGCACCGAGATGGAGGAGTACCTCTATCCTAGGGCTGCTGCTGCTTGGTGCCTGGGCAAACTGGGGGACCAGGACGGCCCCCCGTCGCTGTGTGTGGGTCCCTGCGGGGCCAGCCCAGCCGTGTGTGACTCAGCAGTGCTCCACACCCCACGCGTGGGGCTGGAACCAGCCGGAAAACTTCCATGGAGGGTGTCGGGAGATGCCTCATAGTAGGAAACATCCGCTTGCCACAGCCCGGTGAAGCACCGGGAAACCTCCTGTTTATGGGTGACGTGCGGCAGGTGCAGGACGTGAGATGGGGCTGCCAGGGGTGTCACGCACCCAGGAGCACCCCTGACTCGGCAGAGCGAGGAGGATGCACCCTCCTCTGGGGCCGTCGGTGCTGATGATGCTCTGGCTGTGGCAAACACGGTGATGCCGGAGCAGAGCCAGTGAGTCTCACCACTTCAGCTGGCCGTGAGCACAGACCATGGGACCCCTTTCGGGGGGAAGCACTGTGATAAATGGGGCTATTTCAAGGTGCTGCTGCGGTTCCGAGGCCACGCTACCCCTGGTCTCAAGAGCTGTTAATCCTTTCACGTGCCCCTCCTTACGACTGAACACTCCGTGGTGCCAGCCACCCGGATCCCAGAACTTACAGCTCCTTGAAGGACCTTGATCGGGAGCAGGGGTAGGAGGTGGCAGCGATGCCGGAGCAGCTCTTTAGCCAAGGACCTGCAGGAATGTTTTAATCTCTCTGTGTGCTCCACTTGAGGAGGTGCCACAGTCCCGGGGCTGAGAAGTGGCTGAAGAGCCCAAGGCAAAGGGTTTGGGGCTGAGGCCTCTTGCAGGGGCTGCTGTGGGCAGGGCTGAGGGGTCCCTTCCTTCCCAGCCTTATTTCCCCAGAGAATGGATCTCTGATGCTATGGAGGGTGCTGGGCATGGAAACAAGCTGGGGAAGGAGGAGCCAATGCATGCAAAACCCTTGGGAAGTGCAGTGAAGAAACAAAACTGGGGATGTGCTCTCCTGGTCAGACCTGCCCTGATCCCCACACAGCTGCTGACAGCCGTCTCTTCCCATCTCTGGCTGCCCCGGAACACAGCATCTCCTGGGCAGAGCAGTGCCTGTGCAGGCAGGTCCTGTGCCAGCAGCCCGTTCTTGCCCACCCTGCATGGGCCACCATGTCCCTGGGCATGGCTGGTGGTGGTGGGAAGGCTTGTAGGTGGCCTGTGGTCCTCAAGCCACTGCTTGGAGATTCAGCAGGGAGCAAGGAAGGGTCTGCCCAGCCTTGGGAAATGGTGGATGTTTTCTGGGTGCACTTCGTAACACTTCATGTTTTCCTTTCCCTCCAGCGTGTGGCCCGGGAACCTTCAAATCTAAGCAGGGGGAAGGTCCCTGCTCTCCCTGCCCTCCCAACAGCCGGACTACCTCCGGAGCAGCGACGGTCTGCACGTGTCGAAATGGCTTTTTCCGGGCAGACACGGACCCCGCAGACAGTGCCTGTACCAGTGAGTCCTGCCCTGGGTGAGGGGTTTTGGGGAGGCAGCGGGGGTGCGCACCCAGGGTGGACCGGCCACCCCTGACCTCCACGTTGTCCCCGCAGGCATCCCCTCCGCTCCCCGCAGCGTCATCTCCAACGTGAACGAGACGTCGCTGGTGCTGGAGTGGAGCGAGCCGCAGGACACGGGCGGACGGGACGACCTGCTCTACAACGTCATCTGCAAGAAGTGCAGCGTGGAGCGGCGCCTGTGCACCCGCTGCGACGACAACGTGGAGTTCGTGCCGCGCCAGCTCGGCCTCACCGAGCGTCGCATCTACATCAGCAACCTCATGGCCCACACCCAATACACCTTTGAGGTCCAGGCTGTGAACGGCATCTCCAACAAGAGCCCGTACCCGCCCCATTTCGCCTCCGTCAACATCACCACCAACCAGGCAGGTGAGTGGAGCTGCTGGAGAGCCGGGGCTGACTGCGCCGCAGAGCAGAGCAGGGATTTCTCGCTGACAGCTTCGGAGGCTGCAGTCCTTTGTGCTGCCCTGTTACTGGCTCTCTGCGCCTGCATCTAATCCCCTGGGTAAATTCTCCTCTCCGTTTAACGCGTGTCCCTGGAGGAGATGAGATCAGAACGCGTGCAAGATGAGAAGGGCAGGCTTGGCAGATGCTCTGGAGAGCTCTGGATCTCCTAGACCTACCCCAGAGATGTTACGCCTGCTGCAAAGGGAGGAGGAAGGAAATGAAATTTCTCCCCTGTGGGCCTGGGAATGCTCAGCACCAGCCCAAACCTTCACAGCCAGCCTTTCCCTCCTTCCTCCCGCCCTGGCCCGGCTCCAGCGTGCTGGTAATCTCTAGCCGCTGCGCTCTGATCTGATTTCACGGGTGTGGGGGGCTGACCCTGGCTGGGGGCCAGGTGCCCACCAAAGCCGCTCTGTCACTGCCCTCCTCAGCTGGGCAGGGGGGAGTAAGTATAAGGAAAGGCTCCGGGGTCCGAGATAAGGACAGGGAGATGACTGTTATGGTCACGGGAAAACAGACTCAACTTGGGGAA